TCTTAAATTTCCACTTTATTACTTGTCAACGAACCGTACACTTGCGGGGGTTGTATTCGAAGTAAATTTTCGTGAACACCCCACGCGGTAACCTCAATCATATTGTCACCCCCACACTTGACGTGCTAGTGCTGAAAATTAAATGAGATAAATCAATTTACCATAGCGGATTATGTCTCAAGGTCCGTAAAATTGAAAGATGTGAATCTGCTGTTTTAGGGCCACGACTATTCGCCCTAAAGTTTCAACAAATGTACTGACACGATTGACCAAAATTCAATTTATAACCTGAAACACAATATTAAAGGTATCAGCACGTTCAAAATGATAAAACGAGTAAACTATCTGAAGAAAGCTCCACTAGAATCTGCCCGGCATGCCACCAATGGAATCCTTACGCGCTGTCGACGCTGGTAGCTGTCACCTTCATGCACCCACTGGCGCCTCCACCTGTACAACATGGTTTCGGTCTTTGTTTGCCCAAAAAATTTTGAGTTTAACCGAAAATCGAGATTGCAGGTTCAAGCAGTTTGAAGAAAACTGATTTTGGGGCGATTTTGTTCGAGTTTTGGTCTGAAAAACTTGCACCAATGGCTCTGATACCAGATATAGCAGAAGTCTTGAAGACCAATGGCACTTTTCGAGCTCAGTATATAATCTAACAATTAAACACCTCAAACAAATCGAGCCAAAAACCAACCAAAATAGACCAACTCAGTTGTTTAATAATGCCTACTTAGAACGTACAATAGGGATGTTGTTGTAGCCACAAAGGCCAAGGAAGAAGAGGAAGAAAAAAAGGCACAGTAAAGTAAGCACGAAGTCAGCATCGTTTTCACCAAGGAGAGGAATGGCAATCACACACAGAGACACGTCCAAAGAAGTAGCATATATAATAGAGTTATTAGGGTGTGACAATGGGCCAATCCCAATAGGTGGTCAAGTGATACTAAGTAGGTAATATACCATAAGCCATCCATGGAGTGGAGAAATGGGCCTTGAGCAACTCTAATAAAATTAGATTGCTTCAAATGACTCAAATAATTTGAGGGTCAAGTTGTATCATTTTGAGAAGTTGACTTTTAATTCAGTAAATTGGTCAATGCCAATTGAAAATTATACCGAATTACATTATAGTTCGAGAGGTCATTTGACAACAATTTGCATCACAACAACTATAGCTATATATTTAACTTTAATTTATTAGCTAGTTTTTTGTTTTCCACAAATGATTGATGAGACGATAATCAAGAAATAGGGACAAAATGAAACAGTGCTACGGAAATTTTAAACAATTTTTGTCATCATCAATCAACACAAGCATGTTGTGAGAAGTAGCGAAGCAAAATAATCAAGCAATTAATCGATGTTAAACCAAATTAATCATTTTTTCCATTTATAATTGACCAATGACGTGGTTTTATTTTAGTCATATTACAAGCTTATTTCAATTTTATTTGTTTCAATCTAACTCAACAAGAATATTTTATTGTTTTACGAATAAAATTATTTAAATATTAATTATGCAATAAGTGCATTAGTTTTCTAAAATGGACCTGTAGAATAATTTAAGCCATGCAATTGCATTAGTTTTGTAGTAGCCAATTGTGTGGAGGTATCTATCAATGCACTAGTTGTAGCTTAAAGGTCATCTATTCGTCTTTATGTGTGACTAACCTCTCACATCATTGCATAAGGGTGCCTTAATATTGTTATATTTGATGACGACTGAAATTGACCTCGCCTCTGGTTCGTCGAATTTTAAGTTTACTGTCTTCATAAGGAGAACGTCAAATCTAATCTTTTACATGGTATATGATATAGAGTATACACACCGAAAAAGTCATCATCATACATATTACTGTTGACTTACCTTTGACATCTTTTTTCCATATCGAATCACTTGGGCTATTTTCAAATTAATATATTGAATGACCATTTTGTCTAAAGTATATATTATTGAGAAGATGTGATTTAATTTATTTACTTTTATGTTTTAGACACATCGGATCCCTGAAAAAAATGTATTCTTTTAGCCCTTCGACTTAAGAATGTGTAAATTGTTAGAACTTCCGTCCCAAATAACTAACGGATTTACAATCTGCAGCCCAAGAACCAAAAACCTCCCTGACTTACCCATGGCACAATGCCCATTCACTTAATATAAGGGATAGTCATTCCGTCTCAATGCTACAAGAACATAGGCCATATGACAAAATAGAAATCCATTTTTCCTTGTATAAGTGCCTCCAAATATTATCGATTTTCTTGCAATATGAGATTGAATGAGGTGATTATGAAAAAGGTCGTTGCAACAAGGTTAAAATTGCAATATAAAAAACCTTTTTGGCTATTGACCTTGTGAGCACAAAGTCCTTAAACTTTAAAATATAATTTTTTAGTCCTTCAACTTAACAATATGTACCTCATTGTTCTTTCCATCCCAAAAAAAGTACCTCAAACGTAGGCAGTGTGTGGCATACCCATAAGACGGTAGTTTTACTTCTACAATTTCAGAGACATTTCACACAACTATGATTTAGTTATCATATTTGTAACGAATTGTGTTTATAACAAACTATTGATTCATGCTATCTCGACAATATTTTATTTCTTTTATTAATAAAATTAATAAATAATTAATTATGCGAAAAAGACTGATCGATTAGTTTTATAAAAAAGACTGGTCGAAAAGTCGAAGCCATGCAACTGCTTTCGCTTTGTAGCAGCCCATTGGCTTACATTGTGTGGGGGTATCTATCAATGGACAAGTAGTGGGTTATCTAGTCATATTCTGTGTGCGACTAACCTCTCACATCATCATCATCATGCAAAAGGGTCCCTAAACTTACAGGTAATGAAAACCGGCCTCTAGAATTTACTATTGAGAAGAAAGTCAAATTTTATCGTTTATGCAATATGGACCGACCATCACTGTTATTAATGGAAGTGAGGTTTCTAACCTATTTACTTTAATCAAAAGCATCAATAAGTATTTTTGTCAAATTTAATGCATGAGATGTGACAGTATACATTGGTTAAATGTGCAAAGAATTTTACTCTTAATAGAGCGGACTTAGTCCTAGTTGAATCCAAATTTTATTTTTTTCTGCTGTCCTGAGTTGTATCGATATTTTGCTCTTTTCTTCCTTTTTATTATTATGAGTAAAATGATGAGGGTGTTAAAGAGGTGTCAAATTATACCATTTATTATTTCTAACAATCTTTTGGGAAAAAAATCTATTAAGAAAATAGTCAAATTTATTTCTTGTACTTCGTTGGGTCTAGAAAAAATGTGGATAAATTTAAGAATCAAGAAATGAAAAGGCTAGTTTGTCAGTTGTTAAATTATCAATGTGCAAAAATATAAAATAAATAATTGCAAATTCTCCAATCAGAAGAAGATATATTACATAAAATATCCTTTTTTTTTTTTTATAACATCAATGGGAAACACTGAAAATTAGGCAATACATTAAAACAACTAATTTGCCAAGCACTGATGGGAAGACTTGCCTGTTTCTATCTACAGGTACAAGTTTAAAACAAAAACAGATTTTTATTTATACTATTGCAATTTCAGATTGATTGGAACCGACCCTTTAACTTAGAGGCCAGCAACGAACGTGACACCTGTAGAGGGCAACCAAGATGTTCCACCAATGAAATTAGCGACGGTGAATTTGGTGGCTTCTGGCCTTCCAATGACATGAAAACCCGGCCAATTTACTCTTCCAGAAGTACTGGCCCCGGGGCCGATGTTTTCGAATTCAGCGAAGTAGAGTGTTTTGTATCTGGAACCACTGGCTCCTGGCCACTCCACCCAACCCTGGGACGCAATCGTAGAATCTATTGTGGATTGCATAATAACTGCCCTTGAAAAATCTTTCCAGGGCCGCCCCAAGTATGCACTTTTTCCAGCAGAAAAATCTGATCCCCGACCGATCCTGCAATTTTGGATAGAGAATCCAGTGTTCTGTCCAGGGTCAGACCGGCCACTCGCCAGGATCACATCGTATTTCCCGCCACTGCGTGGCTGCCGAAGAACCAAATTACAGCTCTGGAATACAGCGACAGCATTCCCGAATATGAAGTCCACAGTACCATATATGTCACATTCGCGGTAAAATTGGCGAAGAGAAATCGCATATAATGTGTCCTGGTAACCCTCCACGCTGCATCTGTACAGCACGGTGTGGTCTGATGCAACTGTTAGCGCCACTGCTTGTCCTGCATCAGGCCCTGCCGTGTTCCGAAATCCAATGTCTCGTGCAATAAAGCCATCTCCACTAATTGCTGACAAATAAAGAAGAATATTATATTATCAATGTAAAAACTATACAAGTGGTGTCATTTTTAAATTGAGCACTATAACTAGGGCTGGACGTGGGTTGGTGAAGAGAACCGAATTGAACCGAACCCAAAT